TACCCGAATTCTGGTAGTTGAAGTCCACCCGTCTTCAAGTGGCCAAGGTGGAGAAACACTGTTCCAGAAAGTTGGATTTACAGATGATACTCATTTCTTCTTTTTAAGAAATGGCCCTTAATAAACAAAGAGAATTCTGTTTTTAGGATGACCAAGGTTGTGCTTGCACCAGATGAAAGTATATGTTTTTAATAATAGAGAGGCGTGTGGTATTTGGATCCGGTGCGGGAAATCTGTGCTGAATCTCTCAGCGGCCACCATTGTGGCTTCCTTAACACCTTTCTAAACTCAAACGTGTATTTTCCTCAGCCTGTGGGGTTACTAGATGGAAAAGGCATAGTTTCTTTAGAAACGAAGGAATGCAGAGAGGTCTCGACTAGGGTGGTTCATGAATCCCACGGAATGGTCGCCTTATTCGAATTCGCACTATTCCAAGTGATACTTGTATGGAAAATAGGGTAATTGATTCCAGCTCGACAGAAATAGGCAGTGAAAATGTTTAAATTTTTATACGTTTATTAATGAAATGCTGTATAACAGTAACAGAGGATAAACCCATGTCCTAAAACCCCAACGACTGTGCGTGTGCTAGCCTCAACCACGTGCACGCTAGCCTCACGCTAACTGAACGTTGGCTCGCCTTAAACGCAACCTGGTATCCGTTTATAAATTGCACTAAATCAGATTTTGCGCCCTCTGAACTCGCACTAATATGACCTCCCCGTATTCAGCAGGGAAATATTTGCTCCAGGATTACTGGAAGTTTCTGATTGCAGTTTTACTTTTCTCTGCCAAGGAATCGGCTCAGACTGTCGTACGGGGCACAGAAGAGAAATGTGGCAGTAGCCGTGTGAGAACCGTCTCTGGCAGTCGTCCCCCCCTCCTTTTCCGCCTTTCCGAAAACTCGGGGGACGAAAGCATGAGCGATGTGGTGTTCGACTCGTTGCCCTCTTCCCCTTCTTCAGCAACGCCTCACAGCCAAAAAATGGAGGGTCTTCGTAAGTGCCAACCGTTGGCAGATTTTTTTTCGTAGGAGTGAGGGGTTGTTGGTTCTACAAAGGGAAGAGGCTCCTTGGGATCTTGTCGTGCTCTTGCATAAAGAAGAAAATCGTTTTCTGTTTTGATCTAGACTGGCCTGTATTTAATGAAGTCGACAACTTGGTCCAGAAAGACCACGAAGGCTTTGACAGTCAAAAGGTAAGTTCTTCTTCAAGGCCTACTTTAGTGGCCTGGATTCACACATTATGCTAGGCATAAAGAGATTGGGTTTGGCTTGGGGGATGTGTAAATCTAGGGACTGGTGCTTACCAGCCAGGGTTTATGACTTGCTGTTGTTTGTCAACCACACAACGGTGATTTGCTCATTAAAGTGTGGTTGAAACAAGTCACAGTTTAGAGTCATGTGTGAGCTGATGAAAGAAATCAGCTGGTGCAAGTGTTATTTTTTACCTCCGAAGACTGAAGCTCCTATAGCAGTGTTTCTCAATCTTGGCGAGTTTAAGAGGGGTGGACTTCAACTCCCAGAATTCCCCAG